AAAAATAGTGAACATAATGTGAAAAAAGTGGACTGTCCACTCAAATAGTGGACACCTGGCAACCCTAGCATTATGCCAGGTGGGGGGGGTGGCTTTGGTGACCCTCTCCGGACAGGGAGGTCCTGCAGGATTTCCCAGAATGCTTTGCACCGAACCAGGGCTCCTGGCCCAAACAAAGCAAGCTTGAAGTGCACCAGCCCTGGGCAGCAGAAAACACAGGATTGTGCCTACTTCTCCCCTAAAAATTTCCGCTCCAGTGCAGTCAGTTAAGGGTCACCGTGACCTTCTGGCATTTTTTTTCCCCCCCTTAAATCTAGGAAGCCTAATTCTTCCCCTCCTCCAATTCTTCCTCCACGCAGAGTCTAATATAATCTGCTTCGGGTCAAAGATTGTTTATGTCAGCGCTGTTCAAGCTACATAATTCTAAAATGCTTTTAATAAATTTATCAACTGGAAAATATTGCAAACATTTCATTTCCTTTGATACAAAGACGGAGGGAGGGCCTCCCCTCCCTCCGTCCCTCGCCTTCCCTCCCTCCCCCCCCCAACCAGCCTGTATTTCATTGCAAATTCCTGCTTCAATGAATCACCCCCGTCATATTTGCTTTAACTTTCCTGTGGTTCTGCAAACAGGCTTTATATGGCTGGACTTCAAAGATGGTTGAAATAAAGGTTGGAAATGTGATAGCTATCATCTATTATTAGGCCCTAAATGCTAAACCACTTTGCATTTGAAGCCTGAAAACATGAATAATCTTTTCTTTTTTTTTTAATGAACATTCGGTGCGTTTTTCACCCCCACCCCCACCCCACCCCCCCGGCATTTATCGCAGAGGGCTGGTTTTTTAGAACACTAATACTTTCCATAAACCACAATTGGCTCCTATTTCCCTCTCCCCAGCCCTAGTATTTTGAAAAACTTGTAGCCATTATAACAGGCTTCTCACATGCCAAACCAAAATACTGTACACGATGCTTCTCACCAACCTAAAATTAATGTGTTACCAAGATGCTAACCCAGAGGCGTTCCTGGGGGGGAGGAGGGGGGGACAGATAAGATGTAAATTTTGAGTAGGAAGTCAAAAGAGCAACCCTGGGGAACGTTACAGTCCACAATCCGACATGAAATGATTAGGAGGAAGAAAAAAAAATAAGCTGCATGCGAGCTTGAAAGAATTTATTAGCTTCATCCCAGACTTGCATACATGGCAGGAATGTTAATTGTAAAAATCTGCAAAGTAGCATTTCTGGTAAACAGAGGAGCAGTATGAAACAAAAGATTATGTTTGCCCCCCCCTCTACCCCCCACCCCCACTCGTTATTCTGTTGGATTCTGAATTTCTTGTGCATTTAGAAAACCTTTGAGCGGCTTTGGGTCATCGAAGTGGTCGGCTACTAGCAGCAGCTGCTTACGAAATTAGGAACGTAATTTAACACTGCTAACATTTTGTTCTTAGGTTTGATAAAAATTCCTGAAAACGTATGAGAGTCAGCCAAATTTTTTTTGAAACAAGGGTTTCAAAACCCAGAAGTCCATGCCTCCACGGATGTCTGCCAGGAGCCGTGTTGCCCTTCCCCTTCCATCTCAAAAGCCTGTTTCCTTGTAAGATTCTCTTGGGGTTAGTAAAAGCAAAGCCCTAGTTCCGTGGTGGCGAACATATGGCACGCGTGCCACAGGTGGCACGCAGAGCCCTCTCTGTGGGCACGCGTGCTGTCGCCCCAGTCCTAGGCCTTCAGCTGGGTTTTATAAAACCTTTTCGCTTTAGGCCTCCGCCACCGTGTGCAAAAAAAAAAAAAAGGGTTCAATCAATCAATTTCAACTTCTCGTGGGGAAAAAAAAGACCTCGCAAAGTTGGAATTGATTGTTTGAACTTTTTAGTCCCGCCCAGTCTGCCGTTACCATCGCAGCCACGCCCACCCAATGGGCCACGCCCACCCAGCACCCGACGATACATAAGTGGGTTTTGGGTTGCAGTTTGGGCACTCGGTCTCTAAAAGGTTCGCCATCACTGTCCTAGTTGGTGCAAAAAATGGATTACTCGGAAGCATAACTGATCAACGAAAATGGAGGACTATCGTTGATCTCCTCCTCATAATGCGGTTTGCGTTTCTGCAGATTCTCCCTTCAACCCTTCCTTGGTGGGAATCACCCCAGCCATGCCAAAGCTCCTTCCTCCTCGTGCTCCGGGGGGGGGGTCTTCCTTGCAGGTCTCACCCTGGCCCGGTAAACCACCCAGGGCCTTCCCCTGCTGTGTTGGCAGCTCCCGTATGGGCAGAGGTGAAGAGACCCACCTGGTCACCTCTGGACTGGGGTGCTTGGACGGGGCCCAGGCTCCTCCTCCAGCGCTGCCACCACTGACTTAGGAGGTTTAAACAGGGCTTGGGGTGGTTGGCCTTAAGGGGCAGAGGCACATGGGCAGCAGCATCACAGCGTGCAGCCCTGAGCATTTGCACATTTGAGGGACAGTAGCATGTATGGCTGTGAAAGTTGGACCATAAGAAAGGCTGAGCACCAAAGAATGGAGGCCTTTGAAATATGGGTGCTGGAGAAGACTCCTGAGAGTCCCCTGGACTGCAAGGCGATCAAACCGGTCAGCCCTAGAGGAGATCAACCCTGACTGCTCTTTAGAAGGCCAGATCCTGAAGTTGAAACTCAAGTACTTTGGCCACCTAATGAGAAGGAAGGACTCACTGGAGAAGAGCCTAATGCTGGGAAAGATGGAGGGCAAGAGAAGAAGGGGACAACAGAGAGTGAGGTGGCTGGATGGAATCACTGAAGCAGGAGGCGTGAGCTTAAATGGACTCCAGAAGATGGTAGAGGACAGGAAGGCCTGGAGGAACGTTGTCCATGGGGTCACGATGGGTCAGACACAACTTCGCAACTAACAACAACAAGCAGCTGCTGCAGATCTGAGTTCTAACTTCGCCACGCTCTTCGTTCATTTCCAGGTCTACTTCCAAGCTTTCGTGTTATGGCACAGAAATATAATTAAACAATAATAACGATTCACTACATGCAGCGGTCACGCTACATTATTACTTAGCGTGAAACGAAGCCAAATATTTTCTTATTTCAAAATGGGGCTTCCTTTAGGAATCACTTTGCCCTCTTCTGCTTCCCCAGCGGAACGACCTGGGCAGCCCCCCCCCCATTTCACAGGGTTGCAGGATCATTTCCTCTCCACCCAGATTTCTGCCCAGGAGAGGCGTCTTAATTGCTTCCTGGTTGAAAGGTGGCTCTTTCTCTGTGCACAGGGACCCAGGTGCCTGCACGCCCCTCTCCCAGCCCCCCATTTTTGCCCAAGGTGTAACAGGCACCATTCAGAGAATCGCTTGCAGACACAGATTGGAAGGACATTAACGCTTCTGGGGGGAGAGAGCAGAGCCTGGAACTGAAATTGTTCATTCAGAGGCATGCTGTGCTGAAGAACATAATAGTTTCTGGGCAAGAAATACTAGTAACTAATTTGCCAAGCCAGGGTCTTATATAACCTTAATTCACTCTATAAATTAGGTTAGTCAAAGGATATGTAAACATCAAATAGCATTCCCGAGTGAGCCATTAAACATTAACTTTTTGCAGATTTTTCTTTTAAACAAAAAAAAAACAAACCAGTCTTACTGTCTTGCACAATGTCACGTGAGGAACAGAATATTGTTAGAGTAATTGATACAGCAAGAATGGTGAAAATAAAATTAATAAAATAAAATAAAATAAAATAAAATAATAAAATAAAATAATAAAATAAAATAATAAAATAAAATAATAAAATAAAATAAAATAAAATAATAAAATAAAATAAAAT